CTCTAAGTTCTCCAGTCTGTGGATGGGCAAGAAGCGTGTCACGCAAGGCACGTCAACACCAATGAGTTTAAGGCCAAGCCTAAAAAGTTGCATAAGAGAAGTTTCAACCTGCACAGAGGGCTGAACGGCTCGAAGCTCAAACCAAGTCTTGCATTGCAGTCTGCGGCCAGGTTGGAATCGTTCCAAGCTGCCTATCTGGTTTTAGTTGAAAGATCCAGTTGCGCCACCTTGGTTTGCGTGTTGGCAGCCTTTTTTAATTTGCCAGGATTGGACCCTTCCGGTTTTGTGCCAATAGGAAAAGAACGAAACCTTTGAGTTCGGGCTCAGGCATTGTAGACTTCTGATGGCAATGCGTTTTGTACCAGGGTCTGTTGAGTTGTTAACTTAACCCTAAACTCTAAAATCAGCTCTGAACCCTCTTGAATTCCAAATCAGGTTGGAGTTCAGGTTAACTCCAACTCCAACTCGGGTTGGGGTTAACTCAACTGAAGTACTAATAGTTCTAGTAGTAGTAGTAGTAGTAGTAGTAGTAGTAGTAGTAGTAGTAGTAGTAGTAGTAGTAGTAGTAGTAGTAGTAGTAGTAGTAGTAGGAGTAGGAGTAGGAGTAGGAGTAGGAGTAGGAGTAGTAGTAGTAGTAGTAGTAGTAGTAGTAGTAGTAGTAGTAGTAGTAGTAGTAGTAGTAGTAGTAGTAGTAGTAGTAGTAGTAGTAGTAGTAGTAGTAGTAGTAGTAGTAGTAGTAGTAGTAGTAGTAGTAGTAGTAGTAGTAGTAGTAGTAGTAGTAGTAGTAGTAGTAGTAGTAGTAGTAGTAGTAGTAGTAGTAGTAGTAGTAGTAGTAGTAGTAGTAGTAGTAGTAGTAGTATAGTAGTAGTTGTTGTTGTTGTCGTTTCTTGAGAAAATGATTCTAAATTCCACCTCCTTGGTTTCTTGTCGTCCTGCGAAGCCTGTGCAAGAGGAGAGGCAAGGGGAATTACTCTCAAATTCCTCCTCCTGGCTTCTCGTCCTGCGAAGTCTGTAGGAGAAGAGGAATAGTTCTAAATTCCACCCCACCTTGTTTCTCGTCCTGCGAAGTCCGTAGGAGAAGAGAGGCGAAGAGAATAGTTCTAAATTCCACCCCACCTTGTTTCTCGTCCTGCGAAGCCTGTAGAAGAAGAGAGGAGAAGAGAACTATTCTAAATTCCACCCCCCCTTGTTTCTTGTCGTCCTGCGGAGTTTGTAGAAGAAGAGAGGAGAAGAGAAGGCGAAGAGAATAGTTCTAAATTCCACCCCACCTTGTTTCTCGTCCTGCGAAGTGCGTAGGAGAAGAGAGGCGAAGAGAATAGTTCTAAATTCCACCCCACCTTGTTTCTCGTCCTGCGAAGCCTGTAGAAGAAGAGAGGAGAAGAGAATTATTCTAAATTCCACCCCCCCTTGTTTTTTGTCGTCCTGCGAAGCCTGTAGAAGAAGAGAGGAGAAGAGAATTATTCTAAATGGGTGGAGTTTTTTTTGGGTCGCACGACTTAAATTAGCGGGGGGTTGGGGTAGAAGAACAGAGAGAATAGTTCTAAATTCCACCCCACCTTGTTTCTCGTCCTGCGAAGCCTGTAGAAGAGGAGAAGAGTATTATTCTAAATTCCACCCCCCCTTGTCTCTTGTCGTCCTGCAAAGCCTGTAGACGAAGAGAGGAGAAGAGAATTATCCTAAATGGGTGGAGTTTTTTTGGGTCGCACAATTTTGAAGCAAGCTTGCGCAACTTAAATTAGCGGGGGGGTTGGGGGGGGGGGGCGCAGCCCCCCCCCATTGCAAATACATGCTCGCATCATTGGTTTTATGGACGCTGAAATTTTGATGCTTCTTATATCAGGGGAGCTTAGGGGAGGGGTTAGGGTTGAGTTAACTCGAGCCCCAACCCCAGGTCCGGGTTGGGGTCAGGGTTGGCTTGAACCTTACCCCCCAGGAGGGGAGGGTTGGGGTTTACCCGAACCCTAACCCCGCATCCGGGTTGTGGTTGGGGTTAGCCCTAATCGCAGGTCTGGGAAGGGGTTAACCCTGGCTCCTTGTGAGGGAGCTTAGGGAAGGGCTAGGGTTGGGGTTAACCGAACCCTAACCCCAGGTCGGGGTCAGGGTTAGGGTTGGGTTATTAACTTGAACCCTAACCCCGCATCCAGGTTGGGGTCAGGGTTAGCTCGACCCTAACCCCTGGCTTCTTAAGAGGGAGCTTAGGGGAGGGGTTAGGGTTGGGGGTTAACCCGAACTCTAACCCAACTCCCGGTTAGGGTTAGAGTTAGCCCCAACCCTAACCCTGGAAGGGGGGGGGGGGCTTGGGGGAGGGGTTAGGGTTGGGGTTAACCCGAAGGTCTGGGTTGAGGTCAGGGTTAGTCCGAACCCTAACCGGAGAGGGGGGGGTTGAGGTTAGGGTTAACCCCAACCCTAACCCTGGTTGGGGTTCAGATTATCTTGACCTGATACCTGAGGGTCGGCTATCTGTTATCCTGAACCCTAACTCAGATTAAGGTTTGGGTCGAACTCGGACTCCATGGGGTTCGGGTTAACCCAAACCTTAACCTAGGTTAGGGTTAGCCCCCCCCCCCCCGCCGCCGGGGTCGGACCCGGGGTTGTAACAAAGTTCAACCCGAACCCTCAACCCAAGCCCGCGGGGTATGCTCGGTTTAAGGTTTTTGGGTCAGGGTTTGGGCAGAGGGGTTTGGTTTTCTGCGAAGCAGTGGTTGGGTGTTTGGGTTTGGGGTTTAGGGTCGAGGATTCGCAATTGGGGCTCGGGTACCAAAAAAGGACCCTGACTTAATGGATTTCCCGTTTGGTTCAGGGATGGATTCCCCAAAATTAAGGCCTTGAACAGCCTTGAACCCCGGACGTAAAGGTTAGCCCGAGGCCCTGCCGAAACAGCCCCAACACCCGGCCTTGTCGGCCATACGCCCTAAGCAATGCACCCCACTTTGAGGTTCATGGTACTTACTGACCAAATAGTAGCGGCACTAAACACCCAATTATAACCATATTAGGGTAATAAGCGTTATAGATACAGTTAGGGGGTTTAGGGGGTTTAGGGGGTTGAGGGGGTTTAGGGGGTTTAGGGGGTTTAGGGGGTTTAGGGGGGCTTAGGGGGTTTAGGGGGGTTTAGGGGGGTTTAGGGGGGTTTAGGGGGGTTTAGGGGGGTTTAGGGGGCTTGTGATTAAGGAGCCTCCAAGCAAGCTCAAATATCTCCCAGAGCCCGGCAGCCGCACCGCAAGTTGCAAGGATCCCAGACCCTACCCATTAGGGTTTAGGGTTTAGGGTTTAGGGTTCAGGGTTTAGGGTTTAGGGTTTAGGGTTTAGGGTTTAGGGTTTGGGGTTTAGGGTTTAGGGTTTAGGGTTTAGGGCTTATGTGCGCGTCGATTCCGGACTTTCCCGAAGCAGACCGCGATGCGCTAAAGCGGACATGCAACTCACTGATGGGCGACATGCAGAGTAACGTGGTTGTTGTCACAATTGGAGGAGAGTCAGGTTGCACCCTAAACCCAAAACCCCAAAACCCCAAAACCCTAAGCCTTAAGCCCTAAGCCCTACGCCCTAAGCCCTAAACCCTAAACCCTAAACCCTAAACCCTAAACCCTAAACCCTAAACCCTAAACCTTAAACCCTAAACCCCTAAACCCCTAAACCCTAAACCCTAAACCCTAAACCCTTAACCCTAAACCCTAAACCCTAAACCCTAAACCCTAAACCCTAAACCCTAAACCCTAAACCCTAAACCCTAAACCCTAAACCCTAAACCCAACCATCCGGGATGCCTCATCAGCACTAGCACTGTCATCGTTTGAGGGTTTAGGGTTTAGGGTTTAGGGTTTAGGGTTTAGGGTTTAGGGTTTCACGCGGTAATCATCATTATCACCATAGCAATCACCGTCGCCATACGTCACCATCACCATCAGCGTCATTGTCATCTTCGTGCCTATTCTCTGGTCATGCACATCACATCATAATGTTGATCCGATTTTGAAGGCTTTTTCATGCCCGAGGGGAGGAGCAGTCATAATTTGCTTTGGATGCTTGCCGGCGTCCTTTTGGCTTGCTTGAGGCTTTGTCATGTTCCAAGAAAGCCCCAAACCCTCAACCCGAAACCCAGCTGATCGCAGCTGCAGGAAGAGAATCCCTGGATCCTGGGAGCTCTGAAGCCCGCCACTCACGCGTTGAAAAAGAAGATGCTCTTCTCGAGGTTAGGGTTCAGGGTTTAGGGTTTAGGGTTTAGGGTTTAGGGTTTAGGGTTTAGGGTTTAGGGTTTAGGGTTTAGGGTTCAGGGTTCAGGGCTCAGGGTTCAGGGTTTAGTGTCTGCAGGCTTCGCAAGGACCGGTTGTGAATGATCGTTTACAAAATGGCAACCCTGCTGCCATGGGCATTGCCTTGAGACAACCTTGTGATCCCATCGTCGCATTCCGGAGCACAAGCCCCATATGCAAAGGCATGCACGTTTCGGGGTTTGAAAGTGTCAAAGATGCAAGCGGGTCTGGTTTGGACAGGCATTTCTGGTCTCTCGCCGCCTTCCGCCCCTGCAAACCCACCCAACTGATTCAAACTAGCTTCCCGGAGCCCGAACCGTGCCAATACGATCCTGGATGCGTCTAGGTCTGGTTTTGGCACGTGTGGTGTCCAAGCCGTCCCACGGTAGCTTCCCTGATCTGGGCTCCAAGGTTCAACAGAGCAGGAACTAGTGGCAATTGCGAGGGCGTGAAGTTGTTGGTTATTGGGCGAGCCAGTCTGCTGTTTGGGATATTTCATGATCTGCGACATCTTAACCTCCATAGGGCCTGTCAATTCCATGAACGCAGGCAGGGAACATGTGGGCCGGCCTCCACGCAGAAGACGAAAGGCTGAGCGAGGCCATGGTAAGAGAGTCTTTCGGACCCTAAACCCTACATCTTCAACCCTGAACCCTGGACCCTAAACCCCAAAACCCCAAACCCTAGAACCCTAAACCCTGAACCCCAAACCCCAACCCGTTTTTCGGACGGTGCTGAGCCGAAGTTTCCATGACGACCGCAGCGGGCGTGGCGGAGCTTCGCGGCCTTCTGGAGTTGCACGCTTTCGACCAGGCACGGATCCACATCACCAGTATGTACTATACTTTATCATACGATACCAGAGCAAAGCATACTTCTAGACCAAGCTAGACTCGACTTAGGGTTGAGGGTTCCGATAGTAGGCCCGAAGGCCCCTCCTTGTTGCGAGGTGGCCTTCCGCGACTTCACACGGCAGAAGGGGCTCGGGAAGCTGCTGGCGATGAAGGGCTTCGGCTCTGGGCTGGGGCCGGTGTCGGCCTTCGCCGGGGAGGCCTGGGAGGTGGCAAAGGGCTTCGACTGCTTGCTTTGGGATGGCGAGGCTTTGCGAGATAGATCCTCACCACAAGCTTCAGCACGCTTAGAGCTTTGGAGCTTTGGAGAGCTTTGATGCTTTGCCGTCGGAGCCGAGGATTGGTTGAAGGAGGACAGCTTCACCAGCTTCGTCCCCGAGTTCTTGCGGGCCTCGCCGGCGCATCATGCCGTCGCTGTTCGCAAGGCCTCGGGCAAGCTGGATGGGCTGCGCGGCAGCAGTTGTCGTGCAGTTGTCGTGCAGTTGTTCGTGGAAGTGTTTCCTCCGATCTTCGCAGTGTATGGGCCGTCCTTGCAGGTTCCTGCAGTCCTGGAGCCAGGTGGGGGTTTCCGAAATTAGGGGTACCTGATTGGGGTCCTTATAAGACAAGGGACTCCAACCCTAAACCCCAAACCCTAAACCCTAAACCCTAAACCCTAAACCCCAAACCCCAAACCCTAAACCCCAAACCCTAAACCCTAAACCCCCCAGACTGCAACAAGGCAGGCCTGCTTGACCGCATCTTCCTGGTGCTCGTCTCGGACGAATCTTTGTCACAGTTGGGTAACATCTTACATGTTTAAGGGTACTTAAACCCACTAAGGAATAACATCTTCAAATCTTCATATTACATGTTTAAGGGTACTTAAACCCACTAAGGAACAAGATTTTTAAATCTTCATATTATCCCTACTTAAACCCACTAAGGAATAAGATTTTTTAAATCTTCATATTGTCCCTACTTAAACCCACTAAGGAATAAGATTTCTAAATCCTCATATTATACCAACAATGAACGAGGAATGCGTGGAGGGCGCCCGGGCCGAGCTGCGGGGCCTCGGGGTGCCGGAGCCGGATCTGGAGAACCTGTGCCTGGGCTGGCTGTCCATGCGCGTCACAGGACTCCTTCACTAAAAACATGCTCATGTTTATATAGATATAAATATAGATTAGAAAAAATAAATAAAAAATAAATATAAATAAATATATATATATATATATATATATATGTGTATGTATGTATGTATGTATGTATGTATGTATGTATGTATGTATGTATGTATGTATGTATGTATGTATGTCTGTATGTATGTATGTATGTATGTATGTATGTATGTATGTATGTATGTATGTATGTATGTATGTATGTATGTATGTATGTATGTATGTATGTAGGTATGGATGTATGGATGTATGTATGTATGCATGTATGTATGTATGGATGTATGTATGTATGTATGCGTACATACATCCAACCATCTATCCATCCGTGTATGCATGCATGCATACATGAACACATACATACACGCACATGCGTATATATAGATAGATAGATAGATAGATAGGTAGATAGGTAGATAGATAGATGTTTAAACATACATGCATGCATACATATGTGGGTTGTTGTTGATGTGGCGATCCACCGCAGGAGCCAAGCACATCCTGGCCGTTGGCGGTGGCAGCACCACGGCACGCGAGGCGGAAGGGGGGGGGGGCCCCAAGCCTTCTGAAATCCTGGCCACCAAGCACTGGGTTTAGGGTTTAGGGGTGAGGACCCTAATCCCTGACCCTAATCCCTGAACCCCAAACCCAGTTTGGGGTCGAAGTCGGAGGCCGAGGTCGCGTTGCGGCTCCCGGCCGGCGAGCGGCCGCGCTGGGCGGCGCTGCGACGCTGCCGCGTCCGAAACGGCGAGGAGGAGGAGCCCAAGGAACTTTTGGAGCTGCTTCAGAAGAGCCCCGAGCTCGCCCACAGCGCCGAGCAGGGAGGCTGCACGGTTTCCTGCTGTAAAAAGAAGCATCTCTCCTTCGCGTCGCTTCGAGCAGACGTTCGTGCATTCTGCCCAGCTGCTTAGCTTCATGGCATGATGGCTCATGGGGTCACGAATTGCAAGGATGATGTGCGAGGATGAGAGTAATGGTCCGATGCAAGTAAACGCAGATCACGCAGTCAGGGCCTGGTATAAGGGATCATGCTTGAGGAAACTCCCATCTTGAGGGAGTAAAAGGGGGGATCCTTAAGGGACCCCACTTAGGTCAGGGGAGGTCTCCAAAGGAATGTCTGGAAGCGGGGGTTTAATAAGCATGTTTGTGCTCATGTTTCCGAGTCAGCACGTGGGCACAGCGGCAGAGCTCATCTGCAGCGAATGTCTTGGTTCCGGCTCCGTCGCAGCCATCGGCTCAGTAGGCTTCGGAAGCTCTGCCCGTTCTAGTACTCTATTACTCTATTACTCTATTGCTCTATTACTCTATTACTCGATTACTCAATTATTCTATTACTCTATTACTCTCTATTACTCTATTACTCTATTACTCTATTACTCTATTACTTTATTACTCAATTACTCTATTACTCTATTACTCTATTACTCTATTACTCCATTACTCTATTACTCTACTACTCTAATACTCTATTACTTCTTCATTCCTCAAAGGGTACATATCGGGCGAGATAGATTGCCTTAAGCCCTAAGCCCAAAGTCCCAAGCCGTAAGCCCCAAGCCCTAAACCACAAGCCCTCAGCCCTAAACCCTAACTAAACCCTAAGCCCTAAAGCCCTAAGCCCTAAACCCTAAAGCCTACCCTCATTCCCTCCTAAGAGAATTAGTAGGCAAAGGAGAGAACCAGTAGGTACAGGGGAGACCGAGCAGTTCGGCAGGAAGTTGTTGTAGCAAGCCGTAGACCTCGAGCCTAAACACCTTGAGGGTTGAGGGTTGAGGGTTAAGGGTTGAGGGTTTTATGGTTGAGGGTTGAGGGTTTTATGGTTTTATGGTTGAGGGTTGAGGGTTTTATGGTTGAGGGTTGAGGGTTTTATGGTTTTATGGTTGAGGGTTGAGGGTTTTATGGTTGAGGGTTGAGGGTTTTATGGTTGAGGGTTGAGGGTTTTGAGGTGTTAAAGTGTGCATATCGGGGGAGACAAAAATGCTTCAAACCCGAACCTAAACCCTGAGCCCCAAACCCTAAGCCCTGAACACCTTGAGGGTCGAGGGTTTCGGGTTTAGGCTCCCGACTCGGGGAGCCAGGTTGTGTTGGCTTTGCAGCCATCTAAGGGCAGTTTCCATGGGCCCTTAGCATATGGTGCCTTACCTCCGTTAAAGGGTTCTGAAATATGGGCCCTGGGGTTGTGTAGGGTATGTAAGGGCAGGGTTTAGGGTTTCACAGGGCTTGCTTGCGCCTACGCCCCGAAGTTTTCCGAATTCCTGTGGACTTTTTGCGTGCCTTTTTGGTTTGGCTGGAAGCAAGAGGCCCGAGCAGTGAGTTCCAATTTGTTCGGCATGCCGAAGGCAGTTGAGCAAGATGCCCCCACGGACAAAACCGTCATCGAGACCAGCCCGCCCCAGGAAAGCAGCTTAGCTCGCCTTCGAAGGCGGGCGACGGAGTTTATGAATGCATATCTTCTTGGCTGTTGCAATGCGGAGTCGGACACCGACACGGAAGAAGTCGTGTCTCGACTGCAAAGAAAATGGAGCGACCTGAGCATTGAGGAAATTACGGCAGAGATCGACTCCGTGCCAATCACCTTCGTTGGCTCAGACCCGTCTGTTTTTATGCCAGGTCGGAAGGTGATTGTCAGTTATCCGGGCATGTATGGAAGAGGATGGAACTACCTTGTGAAGAACGCCTTGTTCGCAGACAATGGCAAAGACACGATAGCCACAACCTGCGTCTTCTTGCCAGACCAGTTCGACAAGAAGGCGAAGCAGACGAAGGAGACGCAGGAGACGCAGGAGACGCAGGAGACGCAGGAGACGAAGGAGAAGGAGACGAAGGAGACGAATGAGACGAAGGAGACGAAGGAGACGAAGGAGACGAAGGAGGCAAAAGAAGCGGAGAAGGCCAAGAACAAAACGCCTGGATATGGTGAGCATCGGTACCCGCACAAGCAAAGTGGTCCGAAGAAGCTTTGCCATTGCCATTTCCTCTACGAGGAGAAGAAGAAATGGGGGTGTGCGTGGTTCTCACTCTGGAAAGAGAACACGCTGGCAGTGCCCCGGATTTCACGTTCGACGCCGCAATATAGCATAATGAAACATGATACAATCTACTGTGATCTAAGAAAGTATGTATAACATTATGAACTCAAGATCTAAATAAGCAATAGTCTATGTATATGTAGTCATATAGCTGTACCCCTCAGGACCTTGGGGCCCAACCAAAAAAAACCTCAACGAAGCTGTGCTGGGAGCCAAGGCACATCGTGCCGGTTGCCAGCTGATCGCTCCTTGCCTTCATAATGGCAACAGCCACCTACCCCAAGCCCTAAACACTAAACCCCAGAACCCTAAGCCCTAAACCCCAAGCGTCAACCCCCAACCCCTAAACTCTAAGCCTCAAGTTTTCTGGTTTTTCTTTCCCGTGCATACGGGGAAGCAAGGTCGTGAGAAAGCTTGATGGGACCCTGGGCAACTCTCAAAAGGGCGAAGTCCAGTACCTCAACAAGTCAAAGTTCGCGTACAAAGCGGTGAACATTGAGGACTTTGCCCGCATGATGAAGAGTAAGGGCACGATAGATCTTAGCAATGCTTGCGAGCCAGACTTGAAGGGTTTGTCGGAACTGCCTGACGAGCTGGGAGACGATCAGACTTCGCCAAGTCACAAGAAGGCATGACACGGACCTCAAATGAGGCTGTCGCCACGTCTGTGGAGGCTTCTTATGTGTATATCTAAATGTGGCGATATGTGTAGATTTGTTCTGCCTAAAACCCTAAAGCCGTAAAACCCTAAAACCCTAAAGCCGTAAAACCCTGCGGGCTATGTGTGAAAACACCCTTTGAAATCCCAGACATCCCCAAGGTCGTAGAGACCCGGTTTATTTCAACTGCTACATGCTGAGCCCTGAAACTCGGAGCCCTGAAGACAAGGCCTGATACATACATACATACATATATACATACATACATACATCTACATATATATAGATATATGTATGCATATATATATATATACATACATATACACATACATACCGTTACATCTAGAATCTAAACGTCCCAGAACCCACGCGCCCTAAGCATGCCCTTCAACAGACTCAACCCCAAAGTCCTAAAACTCAAGCAAGCAAGCCTCGTTGTTGTGAAGTCTCGCTGCCATAAGGAAGGCGGCGTTCTCCAAACTCAGATCCAAGCGGCCTTCAAGCTTAAACCCTATACCCTCCTAAACCCGAAACTCTAGACCCTACATCCTACCTGGCACGCGTTTGGAGAAACCGGCGGCGCGTCGAACCGTACTCGGCTGGTAGGCTGCAGGTCTGCTAGGGCACCGAGCGCAATGTACGGCTGGGGGAATCAGGACCCCAAGCCCTAAACCCCAAACCCAGAAACCTTCCACCCTAAACCAGCCTCTATGGCTTAGGAGGATGCTCTGGCAGGTTTTAAGCTTTTGTTGTGGGCTGGCAGTGGGAGCTTTGTTTGGCTTCCTGGCAGCCCACGCACCCCAAGAGTCTAAGACTTCGAGATCAACGAAGAGTCAGAATCCCCCCTGGTTCTTAGTAGGGAGACCCCTCTATATACCCTTGAAGAGAAAGCTCCATGTATGCCCTTGAAGGGATGATTTTGTAGGGGATGTCATTCCCTCATTCCCTACTAAGAACCAGTTTGGAATAAGGTTTTTGGCGTTTGAGCCGAGTGGCGCCCTTTTGTGCCCTCTTGCCCTTCTTCGCCCTTTTGGGATTTCGGGTCTTATTAAGGTAACCAGCCCCCAAACCCTAAACCCTCAACCCCAAACCCTAAACCCTCAACCCTCAACCCTCAACCCTAAACCCTAAACCCTAAACCCTAAACCCTAAACCCTAAGCCCTAAGCCCTAAGCCCTAAACCCAAACGATATATTTTAAATTTAAAACCTAAACCCTAAACCCTAACCTTCAACCCTCAACCGCCAGCCCTCAACACTGGCTATACAAGGGTTGCTGGGCTACGAAGTGAAAGAAGGGAGACTTTGAGCTGATTCCTTCGCGGAAACCGCGTCCAAAGCAGACCTGGTGTGCCCCCGAAGAGGAGGGAAAAGCGGTCCCAGGATGCATTTGGTAGGGTTTAGGGTTTAGGGTTTAGGTTTAGGGTGTAGGGTTTAGGGTTGAGGGTTGAGGGTTCAGGGTTTAGGGTTTAGGGTTTAGGGTTCAGGGTTTGGGGATGGTAGGGTTTACGCTTTAGGTTCTTTTTTTAGGTTTTTGGGGTTAGGGTCCAAGCAAGGATCCCTAGATTCCCCAGTGCTCCGAAAGGCCGCACCTTCAACCCTAAGCCTACGTAACCCTAACCGCGAACCAAACCCGCCCTAAACCCGAAACTCGAAGACCTAAACGCTAAACCCAACAACCCTAAACCCTAAACCCAAAACCCTAAACCCTAAACCCTAAACCCAAAACCCAAAACCCAAAACCCAAAACCCAAAACCCTAAACCCTGAACCCTGAACCCTGAACCCTAAACCTACACACCCGAAACCCTGAACCCAGAATTCCTGCACACAGGTCCGATGCCAGATCCTGACAGAGAGCACAGAGTTGGTTGGGATTGGGGTTTAGGTTTCGGGCTTGGGGTTTCGGATAATCAAGCATGGGGGGGTTTGGTGGGTTGCAGCTGAACTGTGTGCCCTGTTCGGTGCCCTTCACGCGTTTGGGAAGGTGCTATGCTAGAGGGGCACAAAATGTGGTCAACTTCCGAATATACACTCTAAGCACTAAACCCTAAACCTGAAGCCTTAAACCCGAAACCCAAAACGCTAAACCCGAAACCCTAGATGCAGAACAGGGATTGGAAGCTCGGGCTTGGTCCTTTCCCTTCACCATCTTCAAGTTGGGTTGTTTCAGCGTTCGACTTTGACTGTCAGCCGTTTCAGTGTTCTTGTTTGACAGTTCTCATCCTTCCTTGAGTAGATTTGGTTGTGCTCATCTTTGTTTCCATGGCTACTGCTGTTGTTATTGTTGTTCAACATGTGTCCTCTTTGTCGTGACCTCGTGTGCGGATTGGTGCTAAGGCGTAGGCGGCGGCGATGGGCTCGCATGCCGTGCTCGTGGAGCTTTCCAGCCTGACTTTGCCAAAAATAAGTGCCACGGACACTGGCTTCATCATTCCTGACACAACCCTTCTAGCTTTGCCCCAAGCTATGGGTCCAGCGCAGTCCTTTCCAATTCGAAGCGGCCCTCACTGCATCACGAGGTAGCATTTGGACATCGGGCTTTGGGGTTTAGGATCTAGGGAGGCGTTGCAGGTGAACGGAGTGACAGGGGCTCCGCGAAAACAACGACTTGGCGGAGGGATGTTCCTGGTCAAGGCGTTCTCCTTGCCTCATCTGAAAAAATTTCCGAAAATATGGGGTGCCCGGTACCCTTTGGGGGGTCCCTTTGAGGGGATTCAATTCTACTTGGGGTAGAGTTGGGGTACGCAAACACCCACATCAGTGGGAGCATCCGAACTCCGAGTGCTTTCGCATCCGGGGAACCTTACATGGGTTTAGGGTTTAGGGTTTAGGGTTTAGGGTTCAGAGTTTAGGCTTTAGGGTTTAGGGCTTTCGCATCCTGGGATCCTTACCTGGGCCAGTTGTCTATAAACTCGGTAGGCCTTTGGGACATGTGGCGTTTTTCCTTATTAGAATTTAAGAGGATCATATTCAAGAACATGTCAACCCCAAACCCTAAACCTTAAACCCTAAACCCTCAACCAGAGGGGCTACCCTAAACCCTAAACCCTAAACCCTAAACCCTAAACCCTAAACCCTAAACCCTAAACCCTAAACCCGTAAAGGGCCCTGGGTTTATATTTAGGAATAGTTTTCAGAGGAGGTTCAAGGGCCGCCCTACTGGTAGTAAGCCGTGGTCTCCCGTCATATTCCGGCCCTCTTATTGCATGTAGTCTACCCAACCCCCCCCCCCCCTCCCCCCCCGAAACAGAAAAATAAATTGGGTTGGGCTGTATCTTACAGAACTGATCTCAAAGCCATGTGCATGTCGGCGCGCCTTACTTCGGCTCACTCACGCGGCAGCCAGGAAACCTTTTTTGAAAGTTGACCCTGGGCCCCGCACCCCAGACTGAGAAGGGAACCTCTCTTACTCGACTTTCAAGGGAGCCCTGAACCCGAAGCCCTAAGCTACGAGGGTAATTGCTCCACTCAAAGAGGCTGCCCTGAAACCCTGAAACCCTAACCCTAAGCCCCAAACCCTAAACCCTAAGGCCTCTGCTCCAAAACCCTGTAGGCCCTACAGCCCCAAATCATCTCGAACTCTGAGGAGAACCCGGAACCCATCAGCTTCAAACCAAGGCCCGTCTATTTAGGGAGTTGAGGAAGTTTAGGGTTTAGGGTTTAGGGTTTAGGGTTTAGGGGGGCACCATCAGCGACTTGTCACATGCCTAATGGCAAGCGCATGCGACGCGCTGGCAAGTTGCCAAGTGGTCCTGCAGGGCGTCGTAAAGGATGTGAATGACGACCACGCTGATGATGCCACGTGGGTGCCTAGGGACCCAGGATTTAGGGTTTAGGGTTTAGGGTGTGCCCCTAATAGAAGTGTTTAAGCAAAGCAAAGAAGGGTACCCTGATGACCCTAAACCCAAATCCTAAACCCCAAATCCTAAACCCTTCTGGAAGCCCTAAAGCCTAAACCCCTAAACTCGTCACGAGGCAAGGCTCTTCGAAGTTCAGGGTTTGAGAGGTCGAAGAGCTTTGAGCTCGACAGTTTGAAAGATGACCGGATGAAACCTGCGAAGTGTTTCCCTATGCTCAGGGTTGGAGTTTAGGGATTAGGGTTTAGGGTTTTGGGGTTTAGGGTTTAGGTTTAGGGTTAAGGGTTGAGGCGGTCTGACAGTGGTAGAATCCAAAGGGTTTGAGGCCATTCAAGTGTCCGGTACTTTCAGAAGTTCATCAGACCCTAAACCCTAAACCCTAAACCCTAAACCCTAAACCCTAAACCCTAAACCCTAAAACCCTAAACCCTAAACCGTGGCTCTTGCGCCGCTTCCAAAGACTCAATCCCCAAACTTTCGTGCGTCGGAGGGGAGCTTGGAAAAGACTTTGAAGTTTGGGGTTGAGGGTGTAGGGTCTAGGGTTTGGGGTTTAGGGTTGAGGGTTAGAGTGCGAAGTTGGCGAGTTTGAAGCCGTTCGTTCTCGAAAGTTCGGATGCGGCCGAGTTCGAGACTTCGAAGGTGTCGACTTTGGAGTCGGAGGTTTAGGGTTTAGGGTTTAGGGTTTAGGGTTTAGGGTTTAGGGTTTAAGGTTTAGGGTTTAGGGTTTAGGGTTAGGGACAAGTTTTTGATCTCCAAACTCGACGCTCTTTAAGCTTTCCAGCTCCGAAACCCCAGGCCTGCTGTGTTCGCTGTCATGTATGGCTCATCTGCATGTCCCGTTTCACAAGCCAACTCCCCTAAACCCTAAACCCTAAACCCGAAACCCTAAACCCGAAACCCTAGACCCTAAACCCTAAACCCTAAACCCTAAACCCTAAACCCGAAACCCGAAACCCTAAACCCTACACCCTAAACCCTAAACCCTAAAGTCGTCAGTCTTCGGTCTTCATTCTCGGGGTGGTGTCAGCCTCGTAGACTCCAAAGTTTCGTTTGGGGTTTAGGGTTTAGGGTTCAGGGTTTAGGGTAAAGGGTTTAGGGTTTAGGGTTTAGGGTCTCGTAGACCCCGAACTTTCTACTGCGTAACGTGACGCAGACAGATCGAAGTTGACTCAAGACGTGCTCGTGACGTCCATTCTTCATGCTCTGAACGATCCAGTACTATAGCAATATCAGAGTACGAATACTACTAATATACTAGGAACCTTGATAGAATAATGCGCATGGCACCCAGGTGCTCACCAGCAGCTTCGTGATTCTGACCATGCAGAGTGGCTTTGGGATGTTGGAAATGGGGTGCTCTGCGCGGGGGCACGAAGTGAACATCATGCTCAAGAACGTCTACGACGTGGTCTTCGGTGCCCTCGCGTATTACCTTTTGGGGTATGGTATTTCTTACGGGTCTTCCTCCAATTCCTTCATGGGCCTGAGCGACTATCTCATGGACACTGCTACCCATAGCACCGAAGCCCAGATTCAGTCGGGCCTTGTTTTCAGAAGCTTGGTAGTCCAGTGGTACTTTTTTTTTTGGGGTTCAAGGTTCCCTTAAAAGTTAAGCAACCCAAAAAAAGGGTGCCCTCATTATAATATGGTTACTGGGGGTACCAAGGTAGCTACATTTTTCAATTCAGCTTCGCTGCCACCTCCACGACGATTGTGAGTGGATGCCTGGCCATGCGGTGCCGGTTTGCGGTTTCTTACGGGTATTTGGAAAGGACTTTGTTTTTTTTGTGGGTATGTGAATTCCTAAGAAACAGCTAGAATTACATTTTTTTGCTCGGGTTCGAAGTTCGGCGGAGGTTTATTGCATCTATTCTTTCTATGCAGTGCTGGTCTACTCCTTTGTGGCACACTGGGTGTGGTCCTCCAATGGCTGGCTGGCACAGCTGGGGGTCCACGACTTCGCGGGAAACTTGGCCCACTTCGCACGTCGTGAAGCAGAACCCCAACCCCTACACCCTATGCCCTAAAACCCTAAACCCTATACCCCAAAACCCGAAGCCCTAAACCGCAAAGCCCTAAACCCTAAACCCTAAACCCTAAACCCTAAACCCTAAACCCTAAACCCTAAACCCTAAACCCTAAACCTAAACCCTAAATCCTAAAAAATCCCGAAGCAACAAAAAAAACCCTAACAGCCAGGAGTTGGGGACTTGTGGATTCCCGGTGCAGGTTTTCAGGGTGCGCGCTTCTTTCCGGGCTTGAGGGTTCGGGGTTCAGGCGTTTGGGGTTTGGGGTTTAGGGCTAGGGTTTAGGGTTTAGGGTTTAGGGCTAGGGTTTAGGGCTTAGGGCTTAGGGCTTAGGGCTTAGGGCTCCAGAGGCTGCTTTTCACTGAGCCCAGGCAGTGGTCCCGTGCATCTGCTCGGCGCCGTGAATGGCCTGTTTCTCGGCACCTCCCAGAGCACCGAAACAAGAGACGCTGTCACTAGGGTTTAGGGTTTAGGGTTTAGATTTAGGGTTTAGGGTTTAGGGTTTAGGGCTCAGGGTTTTAGGGACATTGCCCCCCCATCTGTGGTAGTTAGGAAAAAGACCTAGCAGCCCTTTTTTGGGTATTCAGGCCATACTCTCAGAATCGGGAGCCCTTAGACCCCCCCCCCCCCAGACCCCCAACCCCACACCCTGCACCCTACACCCTCAACCCTCTCGTATATGTAAGCCTGAATGGGGTCGTGGTCTAATTTTTTGGTTTTTTGTTTTCTTCTTCATAGCTTAGGGTTTCTCTCCTTTGGGCCTTCAGGATTTAGGATTCAGGATTCGGATTCGGATTGAGGATAGATTCGGATGTAGGTTTAGGATTAGGATTAGGATTAGGATTAGGATTCAGGATTTAGGATTCAGGATTGAGGGTTCAGGATGTAGGAAGCAAACTTAGGATTCAGTATTTTAGGTGCGCAGAACCAGAAACGGAAGGTCCCCAGAACCATCTCTTTCTGCATGAAAGAATCGCATGGGTGGTATCTAGGATTTAGGATTCGGATAGGATTTCGAACTTAGGGTGTTGAGGATTCGGATTCAAGATATTTCGATCTTCAGGAGCTCTAGGATACAGGAGGACCTCGAAGAGGGGCCTCCACGGAGGCCATCCAAGGGGGGGTGGGGCATTCTAGGCAGCAATTGTGCACCGACTTGGTTTAGGGTCTGGGTTTTAGGGTTTAGGGCTTAGGGTTTAGGGTTAGGGTTTAGGGTTTCATGGCAGAAACGACCCCATCTTGTTTCAGATTTTGGGGGCCTCCAAAGGGATTCATGAAAGCCTCCACAGGCTCCGAGGGCCTCCAAAAAAGGGCTGTTGTCTGGGCTGAGCGAGTCAAACTGAGACACATGGGTCAGGGGTACATGGTTGTGTATTGCAAGGTGGGTGTACGGTGCAGGTCTTCATAAGGTCGCACGCTGGGGTTAACGGTTTATGTATGAGCTTGGCTAGCTATTCTGGCCTGGATTGAACCCGAAGCCATCTTTTTCGAAGCTACCCCTGGCTTCAAGCGCAACCGTAAACCCTAAGCCCTAAACCCTAAGCCTTCAACCCAAACCCTAAGCCCTAAACCCTAAGCCCTCAACCCTAAACCCTAAGCTCCAAACCCTAAACGGCACTAAGCCCTAAACTGTTTTAGGGTTCCTCATCTGCTGAGGATTGGCATTGTGTGCATGGGTCCGCGTCAGGGCCGCTTCGATGGCAGCAGGCCATGGGATTGTGGGGTTCAAGGTTGGGTTTTAGGGTTTAGGGTTTAGGATTTTCGGGTTTAGGAGTTTAGGATGTTGGGGGTTTAAAATTTAGGGTTTAGGAACTTGGGGTTTAGGGTTTAGGATTTTGGGGTTTTCGGGTGTACGATGTTGGGGTTTAGGGTTAGGATTTTGGGGTTTAGGGGTTTAGGGTTTTGGGGGTGTGGGGTTGGGGGTTCAGGGCTTCGGGGTTCAGGTTTTTCTTTTGGGTCGTCAGAACCTGGCGGATGGCTTGGGGTTGTGTGTGTGTGTGTGTGTGTGTGTGTGTGTGTGTCTGTGAGAGGGCTTGTTTGGGTGTTCGACTTTTCGCAGGGGCTTCAGGGAACCCTGAAGCCCAATACCCCGAAGCTAAGCCCTAAGCTTTAAACTCCTAAGCCCCAAGAACCCCAAAAACCCTGAACCCTCACCCCCTAAACCCTAAAACCCTAAGCCCCGGAAGAAGCGCCCAAACCCTCGGCACCTAAAGCCCTAAAACCCTAAGCACCCTGAGCACGCCAAACCCTAAACCCTAAACCCTAAGCCCAAAAACCATAAACCCTAAGCCCTAAGCCCTAAGCCCTAAACCCTAAACCCTAAACCCTAAACCCTAAACCCTAAGCCTCCCGACACCCCTGTGAAGGCCTGCGAAGGACTTTCGGCCCTCATCTCCTCCCAGCATCCTCATCGGCCTCTTCATGCTGCTGGGTTTGAGCCGCTTTGGGTTTAGGGTTTAGGGTTTAGGGTTTAGGGTTTAGGGTTTAGGGTTTAGGGTTTAGGGTTTAGGGTTTAGGGTTTAGGGTTTAGGGTTTAGGGTTTAGGGGGGTAGGGCTTAAGCTGCAGGATTCTGTTGGGCTCCAAGGGGTCTTGGGGCTTAGGCCGCAGGATTTCGGGTTTTGGCGGTTTCGGGTCTTTCTAGGGTTTAGGGTTTAGGGCACTATACAGTAAAAACGCTGTACAAGAAAACGGTTTTCCGGCGATAGGGTACCCTAAGCTTCTTAGCTAGAAGGCAACCGCAAATCGACCAATATTCCCGGGTCTAGGGGCTCAGTTTCTTAAACAGTGGTTCTTATACAGTGGTTTTACTGTAGTCCTTATGAAGGGTTGTTAGTATAACCCAAAGTTTCGGGTACAGGAATGCAAAGACAGGGTTTGGGGTCGGTGTAGAGGCTCGGTGCGTCAAGGATCCAAGGGGTTGCTTCAAAGCAGGAGTTTGTTAAAAATTGGGGCTTAGGGTTTAGGGTTTAGGGTTTCGGGTTTGTGGCGTTTTGGGGGTTCGTTCTATACTAGGGTTCTGGAACTCAGCCCTCAAAACGTCTTGAAGCGCCCCGCACGCGCACCTTCAATCGCGAAAGCGAGCTCCATCTGAGCTTTAGCGTGGTTTGGCTCAAATCAAGCCCGGGGTGGCAAATGCAGACCCCGTACATCGCTAAACCCGAAACCCGAAACCCTAAACCCCAAAATCCTAAACCCCTAAACCCCAAAATCCTAAACCCCTAAACCCCTAAACCCCAAGATCCTAAACCCCGAAGCCCCAAACCCCAAACCCTAAACCCTAAACCCTAAACCCAAACCCTAAGCCGTAAACCCTAAAACGCCCTAGGCTGTGGTGGGGCTGGATTGGCTTCAATTGTGGGAGCTCCTTCGGCATTACCGGGAACCGCTGGATTGTGGCAACGCGTGCGGGGGTCACCACCATCAACTCCACGGCGGGCGGCGGCATCGCAGCCGTTGGAGCTGCGCTTGGGGGGGGGGGCGGGGGGGTTGGGGTTTAGGGTTTAGGGTTTAGGGTTTGGGGTTTAGGGTTTAGGGTTTAGGGTTTAGGGTTTGGGGTTTAGGGTTTAGGGTTTAGGGGTTAGTTGGGGTTTAGGGCTTAGGGTTCATTGTTGTGGGCTGATGGGAGTGCTTTCGGGCTTAGGGTTTTGGTCGACAGGGGCCAGGAAGACTGGCACAAGGTCCGAGAACCCACGCCTTGCACCCCAAAGCCCTGAGCCTCAATTTAGGGTTGAGGGTTTAGGGTTTAGGGTTGAGGGTTGAGGGTTGCGGGTTGAGGGTTGATGGTCTTCGGGTCGGGTTTTCGTGGGGGTTTGCGGTACACCGGGCCTGGAGGCTTCACGCATGACGACACAAACAGCCGAAACCCAACAGCACAAGAAGCCACGAAAGCCCTAAGCCCTCAAACCGCTAAGAGATCCTTCAGACTCCCCGGGTATACTCACAAACCCTAAGTCCCAAACCCTTACACCCCCTCCAAACCCATAAAGCCAGGGTTCGGGTCTGGGGTTTAGGGTTTAGGGTTTAGGGTTTAGGGTTTAGGGTTTAGGGTTTAGGGTTTCGGGTGCTTGAGCCAGGCTCTGATCTTCACCAAGGTCAAGTCGAAGGGCAAGAGCGTCGTCGCCGAGGCGGGGTCTGTTTTATTGATTTATGTTTTTTTTTTTTTTTTGGGGGGGGGGGGGGGGGGGGGAGGGGGCGGGGGGGCTTGTAAAGGTTTAGGGTTTGGGGGTTTAGGGTTTAGGGTTTAGGGCTTTGTTCGCAAGGGGTCCCCAAAAGGGGGCCGAAGACCATGAAAGGGGTCGGTAAAAGGGTTCAAGGGTTTAAAAGGGGTTTAGGCTTGACGGGTTTGGGAGGTTTAGAGGTTTAGGAGTTCAACTTGACCTGTAAGGGCTGTTGACAGGGAGTTAGGAGAGCTTCGGACAGGCCCCGTTTTGAATTGTTTTTTTGTCTGGGGGCTCTTGTGGAGGCACCCAATATCAGGGCTTGTGTTTTGGGGGATGGGGGTTGAGGCCTTTGGGTAACTGTAGGTCTTTTTTTTCAGGGTTGATGGTTCAGCCATCGAGCCTGAACTGAGCAGAAACCTTCAACGCCACAGCCCAGCTGATAAGAGAAGCCTTCTTTGTGGTGCTTTACTGTAACTTTGCATGCTTAGCAGCCTTTTTGAGCTTATTGGGTTTCTTAATAAGGAAGCTAAAAATTTTAATTTATAGCTACCCTCCTAAGTGCAGCTAAGCCTTCGACATAGCACGTGCCAAAAACCGGAGCTTTCCAGTGGAACGTTCTCACCGTAAACCTCTTCGCCTAACGCCTAAACCCTAAACCGTAAACCCTAAATCCGAAGCCTCCTGGCAATGCTGAAGCCCTGAAGCCCTAAAGATCCCAGGACCCCTCAACCCCCAACCCTCAACCCTCAACCCTCAACCCTCAACCCTCAACCCTCAACCGCCAACCCTCAACCCTCAACCCTCAACCCTCAACCCTCAACCCTCAACCCTCAACCCTCAACCCTCAACCCTCAACCCTCAACCCTCAACCCTCAACCCTCAACCCTCAACCCTCACCCCTCAACCCTCAACCCTCAACCCTACACCCTAAACCCTAAACCCTAAACCCTAAGCCCTATAGGATGTCGCCAACGGCATCCTGGGTTCCCTGGTCGCGATCACCGCCAACTGTGCATGCGTCCACCCACCCGACGCCTGGATTTCAGACTGGTGTTGGGGAGGGTTCAGGGTTTAGGGTTCTGGGTTTAGGGTTTAGGGTTTTAGGGTTCAGGGTTTTAGGGTTTAGGGTTTTGGGGTTTAGGGTTGCTAGGCGTTTCGGGTTTAGAGATGCTTCTGGCTTAATGATGGGCTTGGGGCTTCAGAGAGTGCAACTTAAGCCCCAAAAACCCTGAGCCATGAATTCTACACCCCTAAACCCTCGTAGGGTCCATGGCTCAGGGTGGAGCTTGCGGCTTGCTTGAGGTGGGTTGTGGGTTGTGGGTTTGGGGATTCGGCGTTTAGGGGGTTAGGGCTTTAGGGTTTAGGGATGTTTAGGGTTTTAGGGGGTTTGGGGATTCGGGGTTTAGGGTTTTAGGGCTTTAGGGTTTTAGGGTTTCTACACTTTCAGGGATGACAGGAGGGACTCCGTAGAAGGGGCCCCCTTGAAGAGGCCTCTAGAATAGGCCCCCCCCCACAGAGCTTCATGTGGGAGGCCGGATTCCTTGACAAAAGCGACGCGAAGACGCGCGCCGAGGGGAACTTCTCGCCTTTGCACACCTTCGCATGCGAAGCCCCAAGCCCCAAAACCCCAAAGCCCTAAACCTGAAACCCCAAACCTCCTAAACCTCCTAAACCTCCTAAACCTCCTAAACCTCCTAAACCTCCTAAACCTCCTAAACCTCCTAAACCTCCTAAACCTCCTAAACCTCCTAAACCTCCTAAACCTCCTAAACCTCCTAAACCTCCTAAACCTCCTAAACCTCCTAAACCTCCTAGGCCTCCTAAGCCTCCTAAACCTCCTAAACCTCCTAAACCTCCTAAACCTCCTAAACCTTAAACCCCAAATCCCACCTCTTCCCTCCCCCAGGATGCTCCCATCATCGGCTTCATCGGGGGGTTCATCGCCTTGCTAGCAAACGACCTGATGCTTGTCGCTGACCTTACTGGTTCTTCGTAGGGAAACCCTAAACCAGAAACCCTAAACCCTAAACCCTAAGCCCTAAACCCTACACTCTAAACCCTAAACCTTACACCCTAAATCGCCCCTAAACCCTCAAGACAGCGTAGTAAAAACCTGTATGGAATATCATTCTGGGTTTACAAGTATTGTCTAGACAAACGGCACCGCGCAAAGCCCAGTCCCAACAAAAGGCTCCAAAAGCGACAGCTTCTGTAAAGTGATCTGCAACGTCCCGGAGGTCAATTGGTTGATGTACTTAAACCTCTGTATTTGGCAGCCTATGCCCCAAAAAGGCACCCTAAACCCGAAACCCTGAACCCTGAACCCCTAAACCCTAAACCCCTAAACCCCTCAACCCCTCAACCCCTAAACCCCTAAACCCCTAAACCCCTGAGAGAGTGAGATAGAGGGAGAGAGCTCAGAAACCCATGTAAAGGTTTACGAAAATACGAATATAGACCCCCCAATAAGAGGAACACCTTAGAATAAGGAAACCCTAAACCCTAAACCCTAAACCCTAAACCCTAAACCCTAAACCCTAAACCCTAAACCCTAAACCCTAAACCCTAAACCCTAAACCCTAAACCCTAAACCCTAAACCCTAAACCCTAAACCCAAAAGTACCCCAACTGTCGGAAACCCTCACGTGGCCGGTGGTGTCCAGGAATGAGTTCGTCCTAAAGGTCGACGACCCCGTGGGTGCCGTCGGGGTGCATGGTGCCGCTGGCCCCGTTTCGGGTTTAGGGTTTAGGGTTTAGGGTTTAGGGTTTAGGGGCCTCGCAAGTCGCCATAGATTGGGAGTCGTGTGCGATTGAGGGGGTGGGGCTATTTGTAGGGACCTAAACCCTAAACCCTAAACCCTAAACCCTACACCCCAAAACCTAAAACCGTAAAATTACGGGACAAGTAAGGGAGAGTGGGGCCGATGAAGGTTCATTGAGGACCATTTGTAGGGGCCCCCCAAAAGAAGCACCCTCCCATAGTAGACCCCACACCCTCAACCCTAAACCCTAAACCCTAAA